TGTTGCTCGTTCCGCATTGCTCGTTTCAGAATTGCTCGTTTCAAAATTGCATGTTTAAACTCTCTTACCATCAAGACGTTATTTTGCCTGGTTTTTCCATCCCTGCACTTTTGCTTGGTCCACTTTTTCTAGCTCTGCACTTTTACATTTTTTGCCTTTATTTTCGTGTGGGCGCATGCGCACATGCTATTCAGCTATGTTATTTTCTTGTCCCAACAGCTTATTTATAGAGTATGGATGTGTACCCTAAACATATCACAAGCAGGACACACACGCAAATATACACATGGTAATGGGACGTCTAGCCGGCTTTGGCTTGGGGCCATAGATAATTACTAAATAACCTGACAAATGTGTCATATATATATATATATATATATATATATATATATATATATATATATATATATATATATATATATATATATATATATATATATATATATATATATATATATATATATATATATATATATATATATATATATATATATATATGTACGTACATACATATACATGTGCATATACATATATATATATATATATATATATATATATATATATATATATATATATATATATATATATTTATATATATTTATATATATATATATATTTCTTTATATATATATATATATATATATATATATATATATATATATATATATAATAGATCTCCCACATTAGGTCCTGAAATAAACATCTATAAGCCCCACTTAACTCACTATTTACTCAGCACATAGTATGATTGCCAAGCCTCTGCCTCAGTGGGATTTGAACCCACTTGCATGTCTCACAGTGCATGTCCACACTGCAGCCATTACTTTTATTAAACTCGTTCTACTCTATTTCCTCTACGATCAGACACAACCAATCGTACTCCAGCCTCCACTCTCTATATGGCTAGTCCTATAAGCAGTGGACTTTTGCATATCTAAAAACAAGCTTTTAAGAAAGGCTTAACATTGTTGAAGAAAATATCAATGTTGAATCCCATTATCTTACTAAGTTTATAAAGTTCAAGGTATTTGATTATAAGTAGGTTCTATTCTTGTTTACATTCATATTGTCCTAGTTTATCCTACTTATCCGAAGTACATCAGTTTCTATACCAATGTCAAACAACGCCACGACAACTCGTAAAATGATCGCCCTTTAAGCGCCATTATATCTCGGAACAAAGGTCAAGGACATATTATTCTAAATTTAGTTCTTTTCGTTCCACCTTACAAGAGAAACCGAAATATTACAACCACGACTAGATCTAGATCAATGTCTGTGCTGTTGTTAGGTCTCAGGCTAAGGTTATGCTAAATTATGCGTCAACGGCTAAGCCAGTTTTGAAACAAATAGCTATGTGGATATGTCATGCGCGTTCCAGAAAGACCTTGAACTTTTATAAAAAAAACAACTCTAACCAAACACAAAGTTGTTCCTTAACCTCTACCCTCTACCCACCTTCATCCTATATGCTAACCCCCCACCCCCTCCCGCATATTTGATCCAAACCTTGACCGGCCTTGGCCTTTGTGTTACTATTTTTGGCATGCTGTATTCCCACCCCGTCTTCCCCCTCTTCCAGGTCTGCCAGTCTGGCCGTATTCTCAAGACGACTCGAACCCTGGGCGCCTACAAGCTGGACGTGGCCACTGTGTACTGCCAGCAAGGTACCGTTACCGCCACCCGCCCCGTCCCCCCTCTCACGTCACCCCCCGCCACGGACCATCGACACGCATGGTGGTCAGACGGTACTTTTCCGTTATACGGTACCACACCCAAGTTTCTCAGCATATAGCTTTTACTATATTTCAGTCGATAAAACCATAGAGTCTTAACTAATGACTAGCGTACAGTGTATCTTCCAGGCTTTTTTCTCAGGGGTGGGGGGCACTTGATATTTTTCGGAGAGGGGGGGGGGGCGAACCACATTTTCCTGGGAGGGGGGGGGACGACACTGGTAAAAGTATATCTTTTCAATATAAATTTCGTTCTGAAGGGGGGGGGGGGTGAGATACTTGGAGGAAACTCTGCTATCGTAAGACCAGTGTTTCTTTCGGACACCTCTCCGGGGGATGGGTGTACCTGGTGCAAGTCCACAACCCCCTTTCCTGAACTAAATAAAAAAAAATTACATAAAGAATAAATATTTTATCTACTGCCCCCCCCCCTCTTCAGTCCCCGGAGAGTAATGTTTGAAAGTAAACCTGTGTAGCCCTAACGTAAACCTCGCCCATGCCATATTTCTAGAGCTTACTCTGGTATTCTAAGCCTAACCCCTCCACTGAGAGAGGTGAGTAACATCTGGGTACCTATAGCGGAAAAGGTGAAACTCACACCAACTCATGATCATCGTTCTTTTATTTTTAAAAACTTGATCATTATTTATAATTTAACTTTCCCATTTTGAATGCACTCGTTATTTCGTACCTTTAAATATATTTTATTTATTTTTACAAAAAAAAAATTGCTTTACTTTTCGTATATGTTATTTTAAAATAATATTTTTGTACGCTTATAACATTTATCGATATCAGGTGTTTTTTTTTTCTCCATTTGGAAAATTATTTTGACTATTTTTTGTTTCTTTAACGTTGTTGTAATGCACATGTCATCCAATTGTTTAAAAAAAAATATGTAAAATTATTGAAGGTATATGTTGAACAGACCAGACAATTGAAATTGTGTCTATGGTTATCTTGTAATACCAACACTATTTGCCTCTAAAATACGAAGGTTTCGGATGAAACTGTCGAAAATGATTGACTAAAACCGCATTGTTGAGACGAAAATAGTTTCTAGTAAAACACGAATTATTCTGAAGAAAATGTTTGCCAGTAAAAAACGAATTGTTCTGATTTAAATTCTTGTTAGTAAATACGTATTGTTTGATTTAAATCCTTGCTAGTAAAATACGTATTGTTTGATTTAAATCCTTGCTAGTAAAATACGGATTGTTCTGAAGAAAACCTTTTGCTAGTAAAATACAAAAAGGAGTTAAGAAAATCTTTGTCAGTAAAACACTAATTGTTCTGAAGAACAAGAATTGAAGGAACTTAAGTACGCTACACTGGTTTAATTATTTAACTTCTTTAGGTGCATCCGATATCTTATTCTAGTAGGGAGATTTTGATCTCTTATCCCAAGATGGAGATGTCAAAATCTTTTTCCCGGTATGGAGATTTTGGCATCTTATCCCACGATATCTTACCCTAGTAGGGAGATTTTAATATTTTATCCCAGGATCAATATTTTGAAATTTCACCCGGGATAGAGATATCCTAATCCACATATAAACGACAGTGTGGAGTTAACATAGCTCACACAGTTACTGAGACTTTAAAGTTCGTTTGAACGAATTATGTTAAGCTGATAAATTAGGTGTTAAATTTTTGTTGGTTGAGATTTGTGTGATTTTTATTGATGAATTATTTAACGCTGAAAGGATGTGTTTGTTGATGAGTGACGTATTGCTTTAAGTTATATACTTGATGATTAAGTCATGTATTGATGAATGACTTTTTTGCTTAAAATAATGTATGAGTTGATGCATGACTTATTGCCCTAAGTCATGTATATGTTGATGAATGACTCATTACATTAAAATAATGTATTTGTTGATACATGACTTATAGCCTTAAGTCATGTATTTGTAGTTGAATCACTTATTGCCTTAAGTCATGAATATGTTGTTGAATGACTTATTACCTTAAGTCATGTATATGTTGTTGAATGACTTATTACCTTAAGTCATATATTAGTTGATGCATGACTTATTGCCTTAAGTCATGTATATGTTGTTGAATGACTTATTACATGAAGTCATGTATTTGTTGTTGAATGACTTATGACATGAAGTCATGTACCCCCTACCCAGACCACCAATTCTACCACAAGTGGGCCATGCTGATGGACCCGGAAGATATCAACGGTGGGGTCAAAGGTTACCTCAAGTGTGACATTGCCGTCATAGGAAAAGGAGACTCCGTTAAAGTACGATTTTTTTTCCTTCTTTTTTTTTACAGTTAAATTAAATTAGAGAATGCGGTAATTGTAATTAGAGGACTAGTACTTTTCTTCTAAGTTTCGAGGAGTGACCTTTAAACTTTGACCTTTCCTAGGTCCCACCAAAGTCTGAGAAGGAAGATGACGACATTGAAGCGTAAGTTTTTTTAAAAATAAATTTGACACCGTCTTAGATTTCGCCACTTTTCTTCCGGTTATTAATTTTATAAAATGTCCTACTTGTCATTAGTTGGAATACTTGTCGGAGAGAAAATCCGTGTACTCTGATATACATATATATAGTGCGTGGAGGGTGGGGATTATAATCATCTAGTTATCCTGAGAACGGTGTTGTTTGATACACATATGTCTAATAGAAATAGTGGGGGGGGGGGTGTTATATTCATCTACTTATCCTCAGAACAGTGTTCTTTGATGCACAGATAATTCCTATAGAGATAGTGGGGAAGGGGAATTATATTCAGCAAGTGATCCTGAGGTTTTATTTAAAACATATGCCCCGCCTGGGAAATCAGACATTAACGTAAGCAGTAAAGTACAACAACACAGTTTAGTTTATCATCTAGGACACCAACTAAATAAGAAATATATCCCATTGATGAACTTCTTTTAAAAGAAATGCGCTTTGTGTGGTGGGGGCAAGGGGGGGGGGGGGGGGGGTAATTTAATGGTTGAGAGGGGCAGTGTAAACAAAACGTGACGTCACATCTAACGCCACGGTGTGGGCGTGTGACAACGTGGATAGAAAAGGGTTAAAACAGTTTTTTTAAAGTGTGAAGCTAATAGAATTGTCCTTTTGCGGCTAGAGTTAAAGGAATTTGTTTTTGTAGAACGTGAGTAAGAAAACAGATGTGTGAAATTATTGTTAGTTAGGTATGTGAAAATACTTTAGAGGCGTGAAAAATGTGAAAAATATGAGAATTGAGTGAAAAACTGTCGTTACATATGTGAAAAAATGTTGTTACATGTGAGAATAATCAGAAAATATAGGTAGTTATATATATGAATACTGTTCGAATGAAAGAAAAATGTGAAAATATTGCTATATGTACAGAAAATGTGAAAATATTGTTATATGTACAGAACATGTGAAAATATTGTTGATTGGGTAAGAAGTGTGAAAATCTCATTAGATGTGTAAATTATGTAAAAACGTTGCTAGTTGTGTGATAATTATGTTACATTATGTGTGAAAGATGTGAAAACATTAGATGTGTCTTCTTCTTCTTCCTCGTGGGAAGGGATCCCCTCCAGCACAATTAAGCAGGCCTATACGTGTCAACTGGTTATGCGCCATTGAAGCCATTGATTCCGATTTCGGCCTGCTTTTCTTTTTGCATATGCTTCCATAGCCTTTGTCCAACCAAGAACAAACTACAAGGCAGCAGTTGTTTGATTTTGGAGTTGTCTCTCCTAGAAGAGTTGCTGTCCCCAGCTAACGAGCCTCATCTGCCCGAGGGTTCGAACTCGAGAGTTATCGGTTTAGCAGCCATGAGCTTTACCGACTCGACCACGCCGACCCTTATAAGATGTGTGAAAGTTGTGAAAACATCCTTAGATGTGTGAAAGATGTGAAAACATCCTTAGATGTGTGAAAGATGTGAAAACATCATGCGATATGTAAAACATGTAAAACGTTACTTGTTCCCGCTCCCCCCAACAGCAACCTGCTGCTCCCCGACGGAGTGCCGGCAGACCGGCAAAAAGCCCGGTACGTCGTGAAGATCTACCGGGCCGAGGGTCTGCCCAAGATGAACGCCGGCATCATGGCGAATGTCAAGAAAGCTTTTACCGGAGAGAATCGCGATCTGACGGATCCGTTTGTGGAAGTCAGTTTTGCTGGACACAGGGTGAGGTATTGGTGAGATAAGACTGGCCTAAGGTGAGATAGTTATTGGTGAGATGGGACTGACCTAAGGTGAGATATTGGTGAGATTGGACTGACCTAAGGTGAGATATTGATGAGATGGGACTGACCTAAGGTGAGATATTGGTGAGATGGGACTGGCCTAAGGTGAGATATTGATGAGATGGGACTGACCTAAGGTGAGATCTTGGTGAGATAGGACTGACCTAAGGTGAGATGGGACTGGCCTAAGATGAGATATTGATGAGATGGGACTGACCTAAGGTGAGATCTTGGTGAGATAGGACTGACCTAAGGTGAGATATTGGTGAGATGGGACTGACCTAAGGTGAGATATTGGTGAGATGGGACTGACGTAGGTGAGGTAGTTATTGGTGAGATGGGACTGACCAAAGGTGAGATAGTTATTGGTGAAATGAGAGTCACCTAAGATCATATCTGGTTTTTGATGGACGTTGGTCTTGTGTTGTCTAGGGGATGGGTCGCCAGTTAAGGTTATAAGCTCTGTGTTTAAATCGAATAGGTTTAACTGAATAGGTTTTATCGAACGTGTCTAATCGAGTATTTTTAGTTAAATGGGTTTAGGCGAGTAGGTTTAAACGAGTAGGTTCAATTGAATTATATTTAAACGAGTAGGTTTAACTGGATAGGTTTAATTTAAACTTTTTTTTTTAAACCTGTCGCTAAATCATTCAAATTTTTCGAAGTGCTAGACCACGACCCAACAATCATTGTATATATTTAAAACAATTCCAAAACGTCATGTCAAACCATGTACTTGTCGCAATAGACCTTAACATCTACCTTTACCATGGTGTCACTAGGGACGCACCTCCGTCAAGAAAGGTTGCTACGAGCCGGTGTGGAACGAGCAGGTGACCTTCACCGAGATGTTCCCACCACTCTGCCGTAGGATACGTCTGCAACTCAGGGATAACGACAGCGTCAACGATGACGTCATCGGGACACATTTCATCGACCTCTCGCTGATATCCCACGAAGGCGAGAAAGGTGAAGGACGCAGTATTGTTATTTTTAGATCTATGTGGTGTCACTGTAATGTTTTATTTCGTCCCTTTGCGTTATGTTTGTGTTTTATTTCTATAAAGTAAGTTTTTAGGTAAAATAGTGACTGGAAAAATACACAACGGAAAACTGCGCAACGGAAAACTGCGTACAAAAATGTACGCAAGGCATTTTTTTATAAATCGAACATTTTTAGACATTAGCAAATAAAACATTTTTCAAAGAAATGTAAAAATATGTAAAGTGTTTTTAATACAATTAATTTCAATTTGCCATTTATCTGTTTGCGCAGTTTTCCGTTTGCGCCTTTTAACTCGGCCATTGAAAACTATTCCATACATATTTTATGTGGTAGATGATTGTGTCGAGTATTATATGAGGTGGACTAAAATTCATAATTTTCTTCCAGTCTTTACGTAATGATTAACGAGAGTTTAATCGAACAATTGCTAATTAGTAGCTAATTAAGGGGTAGGGTAGGTTTCAGGGAAAACAGGCTGGAACCTCGATTTTTAAGTACCACCAATCTGTGCTTTTCAGAGGCGTAGGCGACCCTTTCGATTTGCACCCCCCCCCCTCAAACTTTCGATTTGCACCCCCGCCCCCTCAAACTTTCGATTTGCACCCCCCCCCCTCAAGCTTTCAATTTAATTTTCCAACCCATTTTGGCGCCAGGGGACATATGCCCCCCCCCCGGCTACGCCTCTGGTGCTTTTTTCTTCTCCCAAACAACAAAAACGTTTACTATCGCACCATCTACTATTTTAACAAATCGAATTCCTCTTAAAAGAACCCTTTTTTCGGTAGTAATATAAATAAATAACTAAATATAAATAATAAAGGCTGCCAGCGAATTTCCAGTCAGTAACCCACCCAAGCGTAACCCTCCCCTAAGCATAACCGTAGATGCGGAAGTATTATCAGCTGTTTTAAAATTAAAGATTTTTATTTCGATATGTTGATTCGTTATACCTAATGTCACATGTCGTATTTTTTTAGAAGAAGGTTTATTATGGGTCGCCTTTATTGTACAGGTTTCTTGCCAACCTATGGACCCGCATGGGTCAACCTGTACGGGTCGACCCGGGACTACCAGATCCTGGCAAAACACGGCCACCTGAACGACGGGCTGGGGGAGGGCGTGTCCTACAGGGGGCGTCTCATGATCTCCGTCAAGACAGAGATCATCGACACGGAGGACATAGGCGTGACCCTGGTGGAGGTGGAGGCCACGCCCCCTGTCTCTGAGGTAGGAAGAGGGGACTATAGTATTATGGTTCAATTAATTAACAAACACACATACAAACACACACACACTGTTACCGGTTTTAATTATCATTCAGTCGTTTCGCAAATGAAACATCGGCCGTTTTGATACACTGCATTTTCTTTTCCCACTTACATATTATATGTAAGGGGTGATTATTTCAGGAAAAGACTTCTCTTACATTAAAACATCAAAGTGATTTATTTATCAACGTGTTTTCGTTCTACCCCCTCCCCCTTAACCCCCCCCCCCTCCCCCCAACTATGTTTATACTTTGACCTTCGGCTTTTTTTTTTGGCAGAATTTTAGTACAAATTTCAGCAACGAGTGCAACCTCGCTTGTTTATGAAGCCTAACTATTTGTATAAAGTCCTTCATTAAAGAACATGTATAGCTTTTCTTTCCTTTATAGATCGAGTAGAGTATGACTCGTACTCGGCATTCATAAGGGATTTTATTTTAAATCCGCACCCAAAATCTTAGCACAGTGTTCGAATCCCGAGCGAATGCCCATAACTGTCCTAAGTCTAATAATTTACGCAATGTGTGTCCTACAGAGCTATTGTTTGTCATCCACTGTAGCCTTATAGAATAGCTTATAATCTGTCTGTGTTGAAATGTCTGCCTGTGTTAAAATGTCTGCCTGTGTTGAAATGTCTGCCTGTGTTGAAATGTCTGCCTATGTTAAAATGTCTGCCTATGTTGAAATGTCTGCCTATGTTGAAATGTCTGCCTATGTTGAAATGTCTGTCTCTATTTGACAGACTGCTGCCGGGAGGACAGAGGAATATTTTCTGTTTGGATGTTTTCTGGAGGCCGCCATGATTGACAAGAAGGTTGGGGACAGGCCAATACATTTTGAGATGAGCATTGGTAGGTGGAGCTATGGCTAATTTATGTTGGGTGGGTGGAGCTATGGCTTGTTAATGGTGGGTAGGAGGAGCTATTGTTGATTTTTGTTGGTTGGGAGGAAACTATGATTAATTTTCGTTGGGTGTGTGGAGCCATGGCTTATTTATGATGGTGGGTGGGGCCATGGCTAATGTATGAGTGAGTGGAGCTGTGGTTAATTTTTGTAGGGTGGGTGGAGCTAATTTATGTTGAGTGGCTGGAGCCATGTTGGAGGGGTGGAGCTGTTGCTACTTAATGCTGATCGGGTGGAGCTTTGGTTAGCGTAAGGGTGGTTGGAGTTATGTCAGATTCATTTTGGGTGGGTGGAGCCATGGCTAATTTATGTAGGGTGGGTGGAGTCATGCTTAATTTATGTTAGATGGCTTTATCTTACTGTCGGCAAAGCAAAGTTTTGGGGAATATACAAACTTTAGTGTTCTGGAAAATTTAATTTGGTTTAGAAAATATGCGTTGTGTTAAAAAAGTTTGTTTTGTGTGGGTAAATGTATTTCCAAATCAATGGGATGTTGAAGAAAATGTTTATTAAGTAGTCGATGTTTATGTTGTTGACGAAGTATCTTAACTGTAAAGTTGTATCGTAGTATGTGTAGTAACCGCTAATGTTTTAATATCAGAAATCTATTAGAGTACAATGCACTAAAAAAAAAGTCCTACCAGTTTGCATTAACCCGATCGTCTGGTTGCCTAGGTAACGCCGGTAATGTCATGGACGGCTACAACCCGCCGTGCCGCCACAGCCGGGACGACAGTTCCGATGAGACGGACCAGGGGTCGGACCAGGAAGATGACCGCTTGACCGCCTCCCATGATGCCCCGCAGTAAGCACGCGACACCTTCGTCTGTCCTAACTACCCTACACCTGCTACACCATTTTTAGAATCTTCTAGTTTCCTTATGAATTATATATCTTAATATATATATATATATATATATATATATATATATATATATATATATATATATATATATATATATATATATATATATATATATATATATATATATATATATATATATATATATATATATATATCAAGTTATTCATATCCACCCCTCCCCCCCACCGCCCCTCCCCAGGTGGGTGAGCACCACGGTGCCGGTGAAGCCAGTCAGCCGTGACAAGTGCTACTATCACCTGCCCTACTATGAGGACAAGCCGTGCGTGTACCTGACGGAACACTTTGAGGACCATCGGCGCCGGATGTACAACTCCAACATCATTGAGAAGATCTGCGAGAAGCTGGTCAGTGCCACTGGGTTTCGTTTCTGTGATTTAGATTTAGTTATTGTAACAACATGAATTCTATGTTGTTGTGGGTTAGTTTTCACACAGGAATACAAGCAATAGTGGCAACTTCAAATGATGACTTTATTTACACTATATACAGTGAGAATGATAAATCCATAGTTATTCATGGTAAATCCATATTAGAAGACACTCAACAAGTACAGTCACAGTCACGACTCCAAGTCATGGAGACATCTTACATTCACTGCCACAGTTCAAGTTCCAAGTCCTAGCACACAACACTCGTTCACCTTTTTTTTCTCCCTTTTATACGGTCCATTCTCTCCCCTTACGTACATGAGCGATCTCACCCAAAAACATGAAAAAACACATGACGATCGCTCAGACAGTCCTTCCGCTAGCCAGGTACTCTTCATTCATGCAAAACACAATATAATAAAGATACATAATTATACAGTCTGTGACAGTTATGTTTCGTTCCAGCGACGTTAAATATATCTAACCATCTAGATGCTGGTCAGTGCCACTGAGTTTCGTTCCTGTGACGTTCATCTATCTAGCCATACCTGATCAGTTATAATGGGTTTAGATTTAGTTATGTTAATCTATTTAGGGCTACAGGACAATCCCCCCCTGGATAATTCCCCCCCCCCGGACATTTCCCCCCTCCCCCGTATTTACCCCCCGGAGCAATTACCCCCCTGTCAATTACCCCCCTGTCAATTACCCCCCGGGGGAATTACCCCCCCCCCCCCCTCTCAAGTTAAAATCCTAACTCTAACTAGAATTTTATACCTATATACTACTTTAATCCAAACCTTAAGAAAAAGACCAAAACCTAAGCATCCACCTTAGCCTAAAACTTCACACAAAACCAAAACCAAAGCTAGACACAACCCTAACCCTAAAACTAGCTCTAACCCTAACCCTAGCTCTAACCCTAACCCTAGCCCTAGCCCTAGCCCTAGCCCTAACCCTAACCCTAACCCTAACCCTAACCCTAACCCTAACCCTAACCCTAACCCTAACCCTAACCCTAGCCCTAGCCCTAGCTCTAACCCTAACCCTAACCCTAGCCCTAGCCCTAGCCCTAAACCTAACCCTAAACCTAGCCCTAACCCTAACCCTAACTCTAACCCTGTCCGGGGGGGGGGGGGGTAATGTCCTACTGGGCGGGGGGGTAATTGAGAGGGGGGGTAATTACTCTGGGGGGTAATGTCGGGGGGAAATATCCGGGGGGGGGTAATTGACAGGGGGGAAATGTCCTGTTCCCTCTATTTAGATGGTGAGTGCTACTGAGTTTTCTTCCAGCGACGTGAAAAATATCTAACCATCTAGAAGTTGGGCAGTGCCACTTGCACTTGGTTTTGATCCAGTGATGTTAAAGCAAGCCACCATGAGATAATTAATTAATTAAAATTGCATTAATGTTTTATTATTTAAATTTAATTGCAGAAGGCTAGGCTTTAGTTGTTTCCCGAGTATGTGAATTAAAAAAAATTAAAATAGAATGATGCGTTAAGTTTTGAAATCGATCATTTTTTCCACAATTTTATTTCAATTACACTGTCTCAGCTAAATAACAAATGTAAGAACGCTATAAAAGTCGTGTTTACTACGGGAAACTACCCTGTATTTAGCCAGTAAAACCAAATTATGTCCCTTGATATAGTAGAAAAATAAATGTTACCACTGATCACGTTAGACTTGTCACTCTGAGTTCTTCCCCCCCCCCCCCCCCGCAGGATGACGGGCTCGCGCATGTGCAGATAATGATTGACGATGAGCAGCCATTTCCGGAACAACGTTTGAGGCTCGTCTTTGAGGAATTGGGTCAAGGTTGCTCCAAGTTCGTGTCCCTGGTCAAAGGGACCGGGGGTGGGTCGGCGGCCGGCAAGACCAAACTGGACAAGGAGAGACACAAGTTGTTGGTCAGAGAAATGGTAGGTTGGGGCTGTCCGATGTTCAGAGAAAGGGTAGGTTGGCTGGTAGGTTGGGGCTGTCCGATGTTCAGAGAAAGGGTAGGTTGGCTGGTAGGTTGGGGCTGTCCGATGTTCAGAGAAAGGGTAGGTTGGCTGGTAGGTTGGGGCTGTCCGATGTTCAGAGAAATGGTAGGTTGGCTGGTAGGTTGGGGCTGTCCGATGTTCAGAGAAAGGGTAGGTTGGGGCTGTCCGATGTTCAGAGAAATGGTAGGTTGGCTGGTAGGTTGGGATTGTCCGATGTTCAGAGAAAGGGTAGGTTGGCTGGTAGGTTGGGGCTGTCCGATGTTCAGAGAAATGGTAGGTTGGGGCTGTCCGATGTTCAGAGAAAGGGTAGGTTGGCTGGTAGGTTGGGGCTGTCCGATGTTCAGAGAAATGGTAGGTTGGGGCTGTCCGATGTTCAGAGAAATGGTAGGTTGGGGCTGTCCGATGTTCAGAGAAAGGGTAGGTTGGCTGGTAGGTTGAGGCTGTCCGATGTTCAGAGAAAGGGCAGGTTGGCTGGTAGGTTGGGGCTGTCCGATGTTCAGAGAAATGGTAGGTTGGCTGGTAGGTTGGGGCTGTCCGATGTTCAGAGAAAGGGTAGGTTGGGGCTGTCCGATGTTCAGAGAAATGGTAGGTTGGCTGGTAGGTTGGGGCTGTCCGATGTTCAGAGAAATGGTAGGTTGGCTGGTAGGTTGGGATTGTCCGATGTTCAGAGAAAGGGTAGGTTGGCTGGTAGGTTGGGGCTGTCCGATGTTCAGAGAAATGGTAGGTTGGGGCTGTCCGATGTTCAGAGAAAGGGTAGGTTGGCTGGTAGGTTGGGGCTGTCCGATGTTCAGAGAAAGGGCAGGTTGGCTGGTAGGTAGGGGCTGTCCGATGTTCAGAGAAAGGGTAGGTTGGGGCTGTCCGATGGTCAGAGAAATGGTAGGTTGGGGCTGTCCTATGTTCAGAGAAAGGGTAGGTTGGCTGGTAGGTTGGGGCTGTCCGATGTTCAGAGAAAGGGTAGGTTGGCTGTTAGGTTGGGGCTGTCCGATGTTCAGAGAAAGGGTAGGTTGGCTGGTAGGTTGGGGCTGTCCGATGTTCAGAGAAAGGGCAGGTTGGCTGGTAGGTTGGGGCTGTCCGATGTTCAGAGAAAGGGTAGGTTGGCTGGTAGGTTGGGGCTGTCCGATGTTCAGAGAAATGGTAGGTTGGGGCTGTCCGATGTTCAGAGAAAGGGTAGGTTGGGATTGTCCGATGTTCAGAGAAAGGGCAGGTTGGCTGGTAGGTAGGGGCTGTCCGATGTTCAGAGAAAGGGTAGGTTGGCTGGTAGGTTGGGGCTGTCCGATGTTCAGAGAAATGGTAGGTTGGGGCTGTCCGATGTTCAGAGAAATGGTAGGTTGGGGCTGTCCGATGTTCAGAGAAAGGGTAGGTTGGGATTGTCCGATGTTCAGAGAAAGGGTAGGTTGGCTGGTAGGTTGGGGCTGTCCGATGTTCAGAGAAATGGTAGGTTGGCTGGTAGGTTGGGGCTGTCCGATGTTCAGAGAAAGGGTAGGTTGGGGCTGTCCGATGATAATTCTTTTATGGGACGGCATTACGGGGATGACGAATATAGGTTTGATGACCGGATGTCCTCTATGTACAGGACCAGCTGTCCACATTGGCCAGGACAATGAAAGCAACTGTGACCAAATCTAACATGATGGACAAGATTAAAGCTGGCAGTCAATACCTCAACAAGCTGAAGAGTTTGTCAATAGAGGTAAGTGCCATGTCACATCTACTCCATAACTCGCATTATTTTATCATTGTTTCTTGTTTCTTCCTTACAGCAATAAACTTCATTATTGTCATTACCCAAATCAACTTGTATTATCATTATCGAAAGCCTCATTTATTATAGCTTTTTAAGTAACTACTTTTCCAGACTTTTATCTCCGGGGGGGGGGGCACTTCATATTTTCGGGGGGGGGGGGGGGGGGCGGACACTAGGAATAGTATAGACTATCTTCGGGGGCTCAACTCCACCCCCCCCCCCCAAGAGATGCCTGGAAGAAACTCTGCTAACCATGCTGAATTGTTCTTTGTTTAAATTTTCGAATAACCACACTTTGTTATACCATCATAAATATTTATTGTTCAACCACCACCATCACTTGACCACTAACATAACCCACCATCACCATCACTGTCCATAACCTGACCATTACATAGCCTTGCATCACATGACCACTGACATAACCTACCATCACCATCACTGTCCATAACCTGACCACAACATTACCTTCCATCACACATCCCATCATTACGTGACTACCACCACCACCCATAACGTCTCGCCTATCTCCCCCCCCCCCCCCAGCCCCAACACGCCCTCCCTGACATCTTCATCTGGATGTTGAGCCACAACAAAAGGATCGCCTACCAAAGGATCCCCGCTAGACAGGTCATCTATAGCATCGTGGATGAGGAGAGGGGCAAAGACTGTGGGAAACCTCTCACACTGCTGCTCAGGGTAGGTCGGACAACACAAGTTAACGTAACAATGTTATATTTTATCGGTATATTCACCTTTTGTGTAGCAATAAAGTTTAAAGACCTGCTTTAAGGATCTGCTTTAAAAGGTTCCATGACAAATGGCTAAGGGATTTTGTATGGGAATGGTTGAAATATTTTGTCCTGAAATATCTTGTCCATGATTTCTTTTATCCTGAGATATTTTGTCCAGGATATCATTTGCCCTGAGATATTTTGCGTGAGATAATTTGTCCTTTCACATAATAAAGATATTAAACAAAAGCACAATGCTATGTAATGCAACTGTCTTTCTATAAGAAGCTTTCATTTAAATTAATTCAGGCAGTTAAAGCTCAAAATAATTTTTTTTAAATATGTGGTTTAAGTGTCTTGAGTTACAGAATATCTTTAAAGAACACATTACCTCACATACCTTCAGCTCTTACATACTTAGCTCAAAAGCTTTAGAATTAACATCTTCACAACACACATCTTTAGCTCATGCATAGTTAACTGTGACATGACAATTTTGTCTCGAGACATTTATTTTTATCCTGAGATATTTTTTATGTAACCATTTTAAGCTCACATTAAGCTCAAAGATCTTAAACTTACCCTCCCCCCCCCCACCTGACAGCTGCCGGGCAAGCGAGCCATGGGGTCAGCTGGTTGGACCATACAAACCAAGCTCCAGGTTTTCCTCTGGCTGGGCCTGTCCAAGCACAAGAAAGATTTCCTCAAGGGCCTGCCCAGAGGATACGAGGAGACCAAGCAGCTCAAACAGGCCTGTAAGCCGTCTGGGGCACCGCCGGGGTACATACACTATAACGGTGAGTTTCTTTACACCCCCCCCCCCCCGTGTGTATATTCACCGTTGTACCTACCATTCACTTTTTATCATGATATTTCCAGTAATGTATGTTGCTTAACTCCCTTCCCCTCCCCCTTCCAGCATGATAGATTCACTTTAATGGGTCGGGTAACAGCCAGTATAACCATTACCCATATCACAAAAGAAATAATGCTAGCCATCACGCTCATTTCTTTGATTATTTTACTCTCACTACAATGAGATTCTACATGTTGTTCTGTCCCCACTAACCTTCGATCTGATGGCTACCTTGCTACCTTCGATCTCATGGCTACCTTGCTACCTTCGATCTCATGGCTACCTTCGATCTCATGGATACCTTTAATCAAAGTCTATCTTGCTACCTTTGATCTGATGGATAACTTTGCTTCTGATTACATTGGTATACCCATTAACCACACTCAATCACACCTGAACATAACACACAGCTATATCCAAATCAACCCAATTGTCATAAATACAAACCTCATTTATTACATCTTTTTATACATCAAATAATCCTTCTAAATTGTCCTTTGTTTAAATTCTCGACTAACCACACTTTGGCTAAAGATCACTTTTGTGAGCGATGTATGAAGTTAAGTTCCCTTCATCTGATAGTGTAAGGTTCTACTTGTGATTGTTACCATGACCAAAGATGGTCAACACTATGTCCTTCCACATTTAAAAAAAAAAAAGCAGACTGAATTCGGAGTCAACAGACCATGTGAACAAAAAAATTTTTTACAACAAAATTGAAACCAAATATTTCTGACCCCCCCCCCCCCCCAGAGCGCCAGTCATTCCAGCTAAGAGCCCACATGTACCAGGCGAGACAACTCATCGGATCTGACGCTTCAGGTCTGTCTGACCCGTTTGCCCGGATCGCTTTTGCCGACCAGAGTCTGGCCACTCAGGTGAGTGTTTACAGTCACGTGATGGGCACCCGCCAGTAAGGGGATTTTCTATTGGTTGTTAAAAATAGAACATGTTTTAAAATAGATTTCCGCAGGCGACAGTGTTATTTGCATTTCAAAACGTCAAGAAAATAAAGCAATACAACACAACAATATAAGTATAAGCAATCAATTAAATGAATGAATGAATCGATTAATAAATCAATAATAAACCATTAAGAACGCTTGCAAAATAAATTTTAAAAAGTACCTTTTATTAATAGTAAGCAGAAATTTCAATAAATACAACATGCAATTTTAATGTTGAAATCCAGCCAACAAGCAATTGATAAAATAAGAAATATAAGTTTAAATTAAAGTTTAAATTTAAAAAAAGTAATATTAGTTTAAATTTAACCAAAAAAGAGTATATAAAATAAGTAATAAAAGTATGAATTAGTAACCAATAAAAAGTCAATAAAATCAGTACCCCACCACCTCCCACACACCCCCCACCATCAAAACCCCCACCACCTCCCACACACCCCCCACCATCAAAACCCCCACCACCTCCCACACTCCCACACACCAATTTTCCTTTTGTTGTAACTGTGACTTTTCGACCTTGACCTACAGGTGATTGAGCAGACTTTGAGCCCCACCTGGGACGAGATGCTGATACTGACCGAGGTCCAGGTGTACGGCATGATGGACGAGATCGTGGACGAGCCCCCAACGGTGGTGGTCGAGATCTTCGATCAGGACAAAGTGGTGAGTTTTTTATAGGGTTAGACAGGTGACAACAGTATATACAAAGTGGTGAGTCTTTTTATAGGGTTAGATTCCAACATTATATACAAAGTGGTGAGTCTTTTCATAGGGTTAGATTCAACATTATGTACAAAGTGGTGGGTCTTTTTATAGGGTTAGACAGGTGACAACATTGTGGTGAGTCTTTTTATAGGGTTAGATTCAACATTATATACAAAGTGGTGAGTCTTTTCATAGGGTTAGATTCAACATTATGTACAAAGTGGTGAGTCTTTTCATCAAATCAGACTGATGACAACATTATATACAAAGTGGTGAGTCTTTTTATAGGGTTAGATTCAACATTATATACAAAGTGGTGAGTCTTTTTATAGGGTTAGATTCAACATTATATACAAAGTGGTGAGTCTTTTTATACGGTTAGACAGGTGACAACATTGTGGTGAGACTTTTTACAGGGTTAGATTCCAACATTATGTACAAAGTGGTGAGTCTTTTCATAGGGGCATACTGATGACAACATTATATACAAAGTGGTGAGACTTTACCTAGGGACAGACAGGTTACAACATTATATACAAAGTGGTGAGTCTTTTCATAGGGTTAGACAGGTTACAACATTATGGTGAGTCTTTTCATAGGGTTAGACAGGTTACAACATTATGGTGAGTCTTTTCCTAGGGTTAGACAGGTTACATCAGTATATCCCTTCGTGGGTAACTCGTAATAATGAACTATTCGTGGTGATAATCTCACAACCAACAACATTAGCCTGTACGTAATGTCATAGACATATGAAGCAAAGTCATAACTTCAATTTGACACAAACCATGACATTATCTACTCTGACAAAACTCATAACACCAAAATCGAAAAACCGCAACATACACAAACAAATATTATTCTTAACATATTTAAAATTAAAACATTTTATTACTCATAAACCTACAAAAAATCATGCGATTTAGAAATGTCGAAAATCAACCTCAAAATAGAATTGATGTTATGTCATCAAATATTTCTCCTTTGACTTTTCAGGGCAAGTCAGAGTTCATAGGCCGCGCCCTCTGCAAGCCGGTGGTCAAGCTGAGCAGTGAAGCCTACAAGCCCCCCAAATTCCCGCCCCGCCTAGAATGGTGGGACATCTTCCGCGGGCCGGACCGCGCCGGGGAGCTCCTGGCGACCTTTGAACTCCTCCAGGTCAGACTCTGCACGCTTGTGACGTCATGCTGTATCCCGTGGGTAGTGGGTAGCATCAAGTTTGTCGAATGGAGCATGACGGTTTGCGCGTGACTCTGTCGCCATAACGTTAATTTGTTGTTCTTCCTATTTTTTTTCTCCAATTTATTTTTTCCTCCATGCTAGAAACCCTTCGAGGAATCGGATTTGAAGGCCGCATATCAGACACCACCACACGCTCGAAAGATTCCGGTATCCCCCTCTCATACTTTGTTTTAGCTTTCTGTATGCTCCCCGTCTGTTGTTGCAAGTAGCGTTTCTTCACGAATTTTCTAGTCTGTATTTGTTTGCGTTTTTTATCCATAAGCTTTCTAGGATGCTAGTGTCTTGGTTTGTTTGTTTTTTTTTATTTTTTTTTTAATTTCTTTTTTTTTTTTTTTAAGTTGCCCGAAAGTAAGGCGGTTACTGAAATACGCTTTTTATGAAATTATGTCGGTCACAAAAATTCGTTATTGCTGTACTTAAAGTAGGTCATTTCATGTCGCTGAAACAATAGTAGTTAAATAGATTTCGGATATTCAAACGTTCAAGAAAATATAAAATCAGCGACGGTTTAAATGTTCTTGAAGTTTCTGAAACTTTTCCGTCTTTTTCTAATTGGTTTTAATTTTTAAAAATTCAGCCATTAAATGCAAATGTGCTTTCACATAATACACAGTAACATTTTTAGAAAATTTGATTTTAAAAAGTAACTATCATTTACATTTTCATACAAGTCTAATTTTATAACTCTGTATGATAATATTATGTGCTGAATAACATGAGGGGTAACTATTTCATCTGTCTCGTGTGTCTTGGGCACGAATGGAGGAGGATGCTGATGATGGTGATGATGATGGGGATGGGGATATTGTTGATGGTGATGATGATGGTGATGATGATGATGATGGGGATGATGATGGTGATGATGATGGGGATGGTGATGATGATGGTGATGATGGGGATGATGATAATGATGGTGATGATGGTGATGATGGGGATGATAACGATGGTGATGATGGTGATGATGATGATAATGATGGGGATGATGATGATGACGATGTCGTTGATGGTGATGATGATGATGATGGTAATGATAAGGATAATGGTGATGATAACGATGGTGATGATGATGATGGTGATGGTTATGGTGATGATAATGATATCAATGGTGATGATGATAATTATGATGATGATAATGATGATGATGGTGATGATGGTGGCGACTGCTCTTCTTCGACATTGTAGGATCTCCCAGTTACTTGATGTCTAGTTTTAATGTGTTAGTAAATAATGCCATAAATTCGTAAAACAATAATAAATCGGAACTAGTTATTGGCCTTGCTAGATAACTGAGAACCTTGCAGATAGCCTTCGCCCACTTTGAACTTCTGAGAGAGCGATGTAAATCGAGCATCATGAAAAATCTTCATATTTTATTTTTTTCTTGTATTATTTTCAGCTCATTATGTATTAAATTTTTTTTTGCTTTACTTTATACCACATCAGGGTGGATTTCTCATTTGTTTCATTCACATATTTTTGATTGTTTATAGTTTATATAATTATCTTGTATTTTCTCGCACCCTAATCGCATAACTCTAGAGTTTGTCTAAGGAAGTGTTCAAATAGTTTACAACACAATAAAGTTAGAAGTGACTTACGTTAGACGTCAGAGATTTAAGTTAGAGAGGTAGGCTATGGAAGCAATGTTATGCAATAATGACTTTTCATTTTTTTTATTTAAAAAAAAATTAATTTCAAGGGCGGGACAAAGATGGGACACAATTTTGGCTTAACTTTTGTTTTTGTCTATTTTTACACAATTTAAGACTTTACACGTGTTTTTAATGACTGTATCCCACATTTTTCCGAGAACCAAATTACATATTACTGGGGGGGGGGGGGGGGGGGGTGTCTTGAAATTTTATAACAATAATATGACTTGTGGTCTGTAAATATATTTTGATTTTCACAGTTTATGCTTGATGTTGAATGTTAAATGTAGCGATAAATATGATGTTTGATGTTATATGTCATAGCTATAAGCATGAGCCCGACTGCTATATGTGTTTTGACCTGTTAATTATCTGATTTTTTGTGATTCTGTGTCTTTTTAAAGAATAAAGAACCAGCTACTGAGGGGGGTCTTCGTGGTTTCATGGTACTAGGCATCCGTACTCACTGCAAGCATAGTTTCATTAAGAAATATTACTTTTTTTTAAAAATAGAAATTACATCTTTAAGGCGTGGATGAAGTCCTTTAAAACGTACAAGTCTGGTTGCTTTCACACAAAGTAAAAACAAGACCAATATTTAAAACACGGGCCTTTTGTCTGTTCAACATATTTTATTTGAATGATACTTTAAAACATCGGGAATAACTTGAGATTGTGTGTTCAAAAGTTTAATTTAACACCAAGTTAGCCTCCCTTGCTGTATCAAAGGCTCCTAGAAACCTACTCTTGTTCCCCCAGCTCTTCTCAACTCTCAAGTTTCGATATGTAAACAAAACGTTATCTACCATTTGTATAGCTCTATCCAGCAGTTTGTTTATATTCTATAATCTCAGGCGAGAAATCCATCCCGTGAATTCGTTTAATTGTTAGTTCGTCAGACTATCATAAATTGACCTTCGATAAATGTTGAGGCCATAGTGTCGTATAGAGCGTGTTTTATGGAATACAGACTTAACCCTTTGACGACCAGCTGTAAAAAAATATGTTCATCTAAGGAATTAGTCATTAGTGTATCCGGTTTTTGACTTTAACAATTACTGCGCATGTCTTTAACTTTTTTCTTCGTTTGTTGTTTTTGCATTGTTCTCGATTTGATCATTTTTGCTAGAAACTTTTACATTGATAATAAATAACACTTTCACTCGTTACACTGTACATTAAAAAATAACATAGTTTTTCCTTTTTTTTTCCTTTTTTTTTTAAATATAAAAGTTTATTACTTTTACAAGTTAGATTTACCCAGAATTATATTACCCACCAATTAAATTGTTTGAGGTATATGCAATATATATTAGGCTGCTAACTACATAGTAATATGTGAAGGCTTAAATTTACAACTTAATTTTAACATTTCTATAAATTTACATTGGTTACTGCACCTTCTGAGCTACCTTTTTATTTCTTACTAATCTAATATGTCAAATATGCCAATACTCAACATGTGGTGTATTTTCCCCCAAAATGTTTATTCAGTTAGCTCCCTTTGGTGATTCTTCTGGTCAAGACTTACCGCCCTTGGAGCTTCCAGAAATGAAGAAAGACAGAGGTCCCATTATGCCCGTGCCCAAAGGCATTCGACCCATCCTCAGTAAACACAGAATTGAAGTAAGTCTGGATTTATTTGTTACTGAAAACTGTTTATTTTGTTGTCAAATATTTCTTGTTGACCTCTAGACTTGAGCTAGTGTTATTGTGAACTCCAATGTTAACCTTTAGCCTTTGAACTGATATTGTTGCGAACTCCGATGTTGACCTCTAGCCTATGAACTATACGCCACACAAAAAAAAATTAATTTTAAACGGTGTTGCCGTTATCTCTAAGTTGTATCAAAAACTTTAGATATGATATAACATTCTAGTATATTTAACACAAGTTCTATATTTCGTGAAGGTAGAACAGTCATTGTTCCTATATTGTGATGGCTAACATTATAACCCAATTTTATTCATAAATTGTGCAGGCTATCATATCAGTCCAATCAATATTCCTATATTGTGCAGGCCATCACTACAACGCTATCATTTTAATCCAGTAATTATTTCTATATTGTGCAGCCATACTTATAACTCAGTCATTATTCCTATATTATGCAGATTATTATTATAAAACGTTCATTATTCCTACATTGTGCAGACTATCATAATCACCCAGCAATTATTTCTACATTCTGCAGATTATTATAATAACACATTTATTATTCCTACATTGTGCAGGCTATCATTATGACCCAACCATTATTCCTACATTGTGCAGGCTATCATTATAACCCAACCATTATTCCTACATTCTGCAGATTATTATTATAATCCATTTATTATTCCTACACTGTGCATGCTATCATTATAACCAAGCCATTATTCCTACACTGTGCAGGCTATCCTTATAACCAAGTCATTATTCCTACACTGTGCAGGCTATCATTATAACCCAGCCATTATTCCTACACTGTGCAGGTTCTGTTCTGGGGTGTCCGAGACTTGAAGCGTGTCCAGCTACAGCTGGTTGACCACCCACGTATCGACATCGAGTGCGCAGGTCACGTGCTGTCCTCATCCGTGCTACAGAACTCCAGGAAGAATCCAAACTTCAGCGTGCCGGTCAAGTACTTCGATGTGGTCAGTGCCAGACTTGTCTTTTTTTCTGTCTTTGTCAGTGTCACTCTTGTCAGTGTCATTCTTGTCAGTGTCACTCTTGTGTGTATCATTCTTGTGTGTGTCACTCTTGTGTGTGTCACTCTTGTATGTGTCATTCTTGTGTGTGTCACTCTTGTGTGTGTTACTCTTGTGTGTGTCACTCTTGTGTGTGTTACTCTTGTGTGTGTCACTCTTGTGTGTGTCACTCTTGTGTGTATCATTCTTGTGTGTGTCACTCTTGTGTGTGTCACTCTTGTATGTGTCATTCTTGTGTGTGTCACTCTTGTGTGTGTTACTCTTGTGTGTGTCACTCTTGTGTGTGTTACTCTTGTGTGTGTCACTCTTGTGTGTGTCACTCTTGTGTGTATCATTCTTGTGTGTGTCACTCTTGTGTGTGTTACTCTTGTGTGTGTCATTCTTGTGTGTGTCACTCTTGTGTGTGTCATTCTTGTGTGTGTCATTCTTGTGTGTGTCACTCTTGTGTGTGTCATTCTTGTGTGTGTCATTCTTGTGTGTGTCATTCTTGTGTGTGTCACTCTTGTGTGTGTCATTCTTGTGTCTGTCATTCTTGTGTGTGTCATTCTTGTGTGTGTCATTCTTGTGTGTGTCATTCTTGTGTGTGTCACTCTTGTGTGTGTCATTCTTGTGTGTGTCACTCTTGTGTGTGTCATTCTTGTGTGTGTCATTCTTGTGTGTGTCATTCTTGTGTGTGTCATTCTTGTGTGTGTCACTCTTGTGTGTGTCAAAGTTGGATGTGTCATCAGTGTCTATCTCATCGTGGTCTATGTAATCACGTTTACAAGAATAAATGTTTTGCGTTTTTTGACATGAATCGTTTCAACATCGATTAAATTTCATCATTGGAGTGTTGAACAATATTTTATTTATGTTTAAAAAACCGCATTCTGTAGAAAAAGAAAATAACTATTTAACATACATATTTAGTACCTCTTATAAATCATGACCTCCAATCAACACATACATACAGCACTTGTTGACATATATGTCATTACAACCTGTCATCTGTCATGGCATCACCTGAATGACATATATGCTACCTGTCATGACCTGGATGATGACCTGAATGTATGCTACCTATCATGACATACATGCCACATGTCCCGACCCCCACCTAACATCTACGCCATTTGTCATGACCACCTATACCACCTGTCCTGACCCCCACCTAACACCTATGCCACCTGTCCCGACCCCACCTAACACCTATGCCACCTGTCCCGACCCCCACCTGACACCTATGCCACCTGTCCTGACCCCCACCTGACACCTATGCCACCTGTCCTGTCCTGACCCCCACCTAACACCTATGCCACCTGTCCCGACCCCCACCTGACATCTATACCACCTGTCCTGACCCCCACCTGACACCTATGTCACCTGACCCCCACTTGACACCTACGCCACCTGTCTTGACCCCACCTAACACCTATGCCACCTGTCCTGACCCCCACCTGACACCTATGCCACCTGTCCTGTCCTGACCCCCACCTAACACCTATGCCACCTGTCCCGACCCCCACCTGACACCTATGCCACCTGTCCTGACCCCCACCTGACACCTATGCCACCTGTCCTGACCCCCACCTAACACCTATGCCACCTGTCCTGACCCCCACCTGACACCTATGTCACCTGACCCCCACCTGACACCTACGCCACCTGTCCTGACCCCCACCTAACACATATACCACCTGTCCCCCATCTGACACCTATGCCACCTGTCCCGACCCCACCTGACATCTATGCCACCTGTCCTGACCCCCACCTGACATCTATGCCACATGTCCTGACCCCCACCTTTACACCTATACCACCTGTCCCGACCCCCAGGAGCTGCCAGAGAACGAGCTGTACTGTCCCCCCATCACCATCCGCTGTGTGGACTGTCGCAGCTTCGGTCGTTTCACCCTAGTCGGCACTCACGTCATCAGCAACCTGCACAAGTTCATGTATGTGCCGACCACAACTCACGCCAAGAACACACTCCAGAAAATATTTGCATGTAAGTTCAAAGTCTAATAAAATCACTCATTACAACTATTTTCTTGTAATTATGAAGTGTTCAAAACAGGTTTCAACAGTTGCTGTTATTTTTTCTCAATCAGTGGATTTTTTTTTCTTTTTAGTTATACAGTATTAAAAATATCGTTTAGAATTATTTTCGTTTAAGTTTGAGTAAAATGTATTCTATAAACTTGGATTGGAATTACTTTCTCTGGGTTCATAGTAAGTTAAAAACCATGGAATATAATTTTTTACTTGCTTGCTGTAAACATTCTAAAAGCATTTCCTAGATTAATTATTTCTAAGATAGTGGCGCGTTGTTTAAATTTTTTTTTTTGAGAATATTTCTTAAAAGTTTATTACTATATTTCATTTTAAACGTTTAGAGTAGAATTTTGTGTATGTACGTTAACGGTACGTTTTGTTATGGATTTGTAATGTTGAATCAATGATAAATACCTGATGGGATGTGGTACTCTAGCGTTTGTTTAGTGAGGATTGATTGGGCAATTAGGGAATTGTTAATTAAATACTTTCTACAGACGTAATCCAAAACAGACTGTAAGCAGAAATCAGGGAGTGAAATATAGGCGATTAAAATAATATTTTTCTAAAAATAAGGTGTTGATATAATCCTCAACTAACTATTAGAGATGGTCATGCAGGGGTCTCCAAACTTTTCAGTCCGAGGGCCGCATTAACTATCAATTTTCAGTTCGGGGGCCAGTTTCTTCCAGAAATGTCTTTGATTTTTCTGGTCAAAGTTCCTCAGCCATCACCAACAAACGCTTTTTCCCTGTACAAAAAGATCTCCGCGGGCCGGATGAGAGGACATAGCGGGCCGCACCTGGCCCGTGGGCCGTAGTTTGGAGACCCCTGAATGTAGGGTGATGAATGTCCGGTCTAATGGTCGCTCATGTACTCGCCAGTGAAAGGGCTGGACGAGGTCAAGGTCATCCAGTCGGGGTCACCGGTCTCCACCAAGTCGGAGGACGTGACTATCAACATGGACGAGAACCTTCCGCTCATCACACGTGACCAGTACATCACCATCAACACGGTAAGTGGTCGGCGGGGTCAGTGGATGACGTCATGACGGATGATGACGTCAGGATTTGCTAGATGGCCTTGGGATCGTAGCACAGAAAGTGTCCATTTGGTCCCTTTAAGACGTCATGTTACAGTAAGCTTTGCCCCGTGTGTTCGCTTATGACGTCATGTTACAGTAAGCTTTGCCCCGTGTCTTCGCTTATGACGTCATACTATGGTGAAAATTGTCCAGTCGTTCAGTTTATGAGAATGGTCATTTTGTGACGTAGCTATAGAGTAGGTGTCCAGATAGTAATTTTATGACGGCATAATTCATCCATTATGAATCACCCATAATTATTCAGCTCATGAACCAAAATTTTTCCTAGTGTAACTTGCTAATTACTTTCTTGTTTGGTATATAACGTCAACATACAGCTGTTATAAAGAATACCTAATTTAGTTTTTTTCCTACATCCCATTACCTGGGGGCGATAACTCCACATATTTATTTTATTAGCAGTCTAAGGGAAACAACTCAATAAATCCTGATTTCTTACCTGCAGGGTCCCAGTACAAAAGACGAAAAAACTGCGGAAAACAAAAAGAAAAAAGCCAAGAAAAAGACGGTGGAAGAGGACGAGCCGGACATGGAGGCACTGGACTGGTGGAGCAAGTACTTCGCCTCGGTGGAAACTATGATCAGGGTAAGAGTGCCGGCTTTTTCCGGCTTCTGCTTTTCTCGAGACCTCCTGCAGAGACATTTTGATCTTTGGAAGAAGTTAAGTAATCCGGATTCTTCCGGCCTTTCTCAAGATCACACTGCTCTCGTGGTCTCTGATAGACACAGCTTGATTTTTTTAAAGGAGATAAGATTGAACCGGCATTTTCCGGCTCCCACTTTTCCCATAGTGTTTCTAAAGCATTATGTGCTAAAGTTTTGTTCACTAAAGCTTTTATTTACACTCTCATGTGGTGACACTCTAGCAAACATTTGTGGTTAAGTTTTAACTCTTAAACCAAAACATCAACTCCCAATTTAGCCTACATGCTACTTCCTTAGCCTCCAATCCATTCCTTCCTTAGGGGTCATCCTAAAATGACGTCACGCTTTTTTAGACGATTTTTACCTCCCCCCCACCTTCCCTCCGTCACACATCGTCACAAAAAGCCAGACCCCCCCCCCCCCCCCCGCTAAAATGACGTCACATACATCAGCCCACAACCCCCCATTAAATTGCAGTTGAATTTTTCTTAAAATACGATAGTTTTCCAAAATCTTGTTTGAACTCTGTCAACGTAGAGCATTTTAATCAATTCCTATTACAATTTATTAAAACAGTTTTCTAAAACGCGAAATAACGGCTAAAATTCGTTTTCTAACATTGCTTTTTTATAATGCAAAAGTGTGACGTCACACCATCTAAACCCCCCCCCCCCCCCGTCCACTCCCCCCATCACACACCGTCATAAAATTACGGACACCCCCTCCCCCTACGAGTGTGGCGTCATTCATGAACGACCCCTTACCCTCAAATCCACTCCTTCCTTACCCTCAAATCCACTTCTTCCTTAGCCTCAAATCCACTCCTTCCTTAGCCTCAAATCCACTTCTTCCTTAGCCTCAAATCCACTCCTTCCTTAGCCTCAAATCCACTCCTTCCTTAGCCTCAAATCCACTTCTTCCTTAGCCTCAAATCCACTCCTTCTTTAGCCTCAAATCCACTTCTTAGTAAGCCTCAAATCCACTCCTTCGTTAGCCTTTTAATCACATTTTACTTTGTTTGGCCGTAATGACTTTAATAATATAGCCTCAAATCATACTGTCAAATCAACTAATTGAAAATCTATTCCCGTACTGTAGACTTATTTCCACATAACTACTATGTGATAGAAACAAATAACTCTTAACTCTTTTTTTGACAACAAGAGTCCCTCCCTGATGCCTCCACCCCCTATTGTATATGACAAGATAACCTTGACCCCACTCCTTATATTTGTACAGGCAGATCCCAATGATGAGGTAACGTTGTTTTAAACGATTTATTTTATTCTATGATAACATCCAAAAATTTATTTTATTGTATGATAACATTCTCTAATTTATGTTATTGTATGATAACATTCTCTAATTTATTTTACTGTATGATAAAATCTTCGGCGGAATGCTTCAATTTTATTTACATTTTATGAATTCTTCATTTGTGGGACATGGATTTCTAAACCGTCTTTCTTTGAATGCATTTTAAAAATATATTTCCCTTTTCTAGTCGTTACCATTGCTGTCTTGGAGAATTTGCTTTCAATATTTTATACATTTTTGCTCCTTTTAAAAATTAATTTACAAAAAACAGTTTAAACAGCCTTGCTAATATTTACGTTTTTATCGTGTGAATTAGTTTTTTCCAATTTACTATTTTTAAAAATTAACTTTTTTTCATGCATTTCTCCCAGTTATTGCTGGGGCCATTAACTTTTTTTTTACATCAAGTTTTTTATTCACAGATTCTTTAAACTTTTTACACTTGCGATATTTGTAACTACAGTCAGCACACACAACACCTCCACATACTACCCTAAATACCACCTTTACATACTGCCCCAAATAACAAACAAAATACAATTCCACCCCACATACAATCCCACGTACCCACATACCAAGTCACATATAGCCCCACATACCATCCCACCTAAGATTGACCCGCACCAACATACTACCTCATATACCATCCCACATACCACCCCCACATAGCACATCACATACACACCCTACGTGTCCCCTTATGTACACACCCACGTGCACCCATCGTACCACCCCACACCAACATACCACCCCAACATTATCCCCACATACCACCCCCACATTGCCCCACATACCACCCCCACATTGCCCCACATACCACCCCCACATTGCCGCCACATACCACCTCCACATTCCACCCTCACACACCACCCCCACATTCCACCCCACATACCACCCCCACATACCACCCCCACATACCGCCCCCACATACCACCCCCGCATACCACCCCCACATGCCACCCCCACAAACCACCCCCACCTACATTCTCCCTCACCACGTCTACACCTTGAAACATTTCCTTCCATCAAATCTAAAACCTCTGACGTCATATTTCTCCAACCAATCAAAACATGTTTTATTTTTGTTTTCAATTCACACCAAAATAATCACAAAATTTCAACAGCCTGTATTACACCCCAGTCTCCCGAACGTCAAGCGATCGAAAAATTAATTCCCTTTCTTTCAAAATAATCACTCACAGCTTCATTTATTTCCAATTTCTTTTCATTCTCTTTTTTTTTATATTAAACATTCCTAAATTTGTCGGTGTCTTCTTTACATTTGTCATTTTGATTCAATTATCTCGAACCATTTTTATTTAAAGTTATAAGATATCAAATGGTTCTGTGCAGTTAATGATTTTTAAATTGTGAAGATCAAATGATGCAAAAAGTGTCAAATTCGCTGTAGTTTGGTCTAAGTTTAACAGAAGGGCCTATTTTTATTTGTGATTCATGTCAAATTTGAATCCGATCGCAATTTAAATTAAAGTTTCAGGTTCAGGTATGGGGGGTACGTGTATTTTCATACATATTATATATATATGTATATATATATAGGCCTATATATATATATATATATATATATAATGTTATATATAATGTTATATATACACACACATATATATATATATATATATATATATATATATATATATATATATATATATATATATATATATATATATATATATATAGTGTGTGTCTGTGTGTTAAGTGTGTTGTGTATAGTTTAATTAGAAGTATGACAGAAAGAAAAAAAATCGAGTGATGACCTTGACCCATTTAAATTGTAACCCTGCATTGACCAGGAACACGGCCACGCCGATGACGTCTTCAACGTGGAACTGCTGCAGGCGGAGAGCCGGGCCCAGGACTCCAAGCAGTCGCAGGACGACGACCTGAGCATCAAGCGGGCAGCAAATGGCGGATACGGCACTCTAGCAGACGGTTAGCTGCAACCTTGACCTTCGATGTCTGGGAGGGGGGAAATATATCGAAATAGAAAAATATAAATTTACATTTATAAAATAATTTAAAAATTGTTTTTAATTACATTTTTTTAAACTTTATTTAAAGTATTTTTAGAACTTAATTCTAAAAATAGATTTTTAAAAAAATAAACTCCATTTACTGCGGGTCTGTTACAGAGGTGGAGATCAAAGAGGCGAAGAGGTTCGAGAGGGAGGTCAAGAAGATGGTGGAGAGGCGAGACCTGGAGAAGAAGAAAGACGCCTCTCTGGCCAAACAGCTCTCTCCCAAAGCTCAGAGAAAGAGGGAGAAGTTGTTGAGTAACACGTCACAGCTCAAGGTATGACGTCATATGTGATGGTGTACACTGGAAAGGAGGGGTGAAGGGGTGGGGCGTGATGGGGGTCAGTAAAGACGGGTGTGGGATTTGGAGGGGGTGGAGGCGTTATTAAGGAATCCACTGTTAAATTTGTAGACTAAATAATGTAGACTAACCGCGACATTATTTGAAGGTTACGTTGGGTTATTGGTAGACCAATCCCCTTTTGTCTAGGGGTCTTGATAGACCGACCCCCTTTTTGTCCAGGGGTCATTGGTATACCGACCCCCTTTTTGTCCAGGGGTCATTTCTATACCGATCCCCTTTTTGTCCAGGCGTCATTGGTAGACCGACCCCCCTTTTCGTCCAGGGGTCATTAGTAGACCGACCCCCTTTTCGTCCAGGGGTCATGAATTTTCGATACTGTCATAAAAAAAACCAAGGGATCATAGGTGCACATATAGTTTGACCCTTGAACATTTGCATACAAAGGTCACTGTTGTACAGGTGTATCCCACGGAGCTGGAGACGCAGCTGCAGTTTAACGGCTTCCGGGACTGGCTCCACACCTTCGAGCTGTTCCGCGGGAAAAACATGGGCAACGACGAGCCGGATGAGAACAGGATTGTGGGAAAGTTCAAGGTCAGTGCTGCTTCGCGGGGTCACGGTGTGATGGTGGTGTGGTGATGATGTGGTTAAGGTGTAGTGAGGTGTGGTGTTTTGTGATAGTGGTAGATGTTGATGTGGTGTGGTGGTGGTGTTGTGGTGGTGTTGTGGTGGTGTGGCTAAGGTGTAGTGAGGTGTGGTGTTTTGTGATAGTGGTAGATGTTAATGTGGTGTGGTGGTGGTGTTGTGGTGGTGTGGCTAAGGTGTAGTGAGGTGTGGTGTTTTGTGATAGTGGTAGATGTTGATGTGGTGTGGTGGTGGTGTTGTGGTGGTGTGGCTAAGGTGTAGTGAGGTGTGGTGTTTTGTGATAGTGGTAGATGTTGATGTGGTGTGGTGTGGTGTGGTTGTGGTGTGGCTAAGGTGTAGTGAGGTGTGGTGTTTTGTGATAGTGGTAGATGTTGATGTGGTGTGGTGGTGGTGTGGTTGTGGTGTGGCTAAGGTGTAGTGAGGTGTGGTGTTTTGTGATAGTGGTAGATGTTGATGTGGTGTGGTGGTGGTGTTGTGGTGGTGTGGCTAAGGTGTAGTGAGGTGTGGTGTTTTGTGATAGTGGTAGATGTTGATGTGGTGTGGTGGTGGTGTTGTGGTGGTGGTTGTGTGGTGTCTCCTGTCTAATGATTGGTCACAATTAATGTGCGCTTCTAATTGTTAGTGAAAATTAATGTGTGCTGTCTAATAATTGGTCAAGGGCTATAGACTAGCTGATACAATTGAAGTGGTAATTACTCGACAGCGTTCTTTTTACTGGTTGATTTACATTTAATAGAGGCCTATTAGCTTAACTACAGAAATTTTTTGTTTTAAATTTAACATATTTCGTTTAATGTAAATCTTCATAAAGTGAAATCAAAATAAATCAGATTAATTTTAACCAAAACCTTAATCTTGGTTAAATGAACTGTATGCTCAAGAGATAGAGCTCATGATGGCTGTTCTTGACGTTTCAAGTTCGGTTCTTGTTTATAGCGCATCTCTCTCCTTATACCTTTCTTTCTTGAGGTCAAACAGATGAACTCTACTTCACTGCAAAGAGTGAAATAAAATAAAACTTGTGTACACCTGAATATATGAAACAATTTAAAAAAAAAAATAAAAGCTTTATACTCATCTTCTTCCCTTAATCAATGTACCCGCAACACAATCCTCACCAGTAACCGTAACTGTGAAAATGTCTTAGTGTGTAGCATTAGCCTCCCCTTGTCTAGTAACTGTCCACCATCCCCAGGGTTCAATGAAGATCTACAAGATACCGCTACCACCTGACATAGAGGACTGCACCATCACCGGCGGAGATCCGGCGTACGGTCTTTTTCAGGGCCTACCCAGTAATGAGCCGGTCAAAGTGTTGGTCCGTATATACATAGTCAAGGTAGGCCTATGTCAACGTAACATCATTGGACATTTTTCAATCTTTATACAACAGTTATATCTATCTATATCTATATATCTATCTCTATCATCTCTATATCTATCTATCTATCTATCTATCTATCTATCTATCTATCTATCTATATATATATATCTATATATATATATATATATATATATATATATATATATATATATATATATATATATATATCTATGTATATATATATATATATATATATATATATATATATATATATATATATATATATATATATATATATACTAGCTGCATCCCGTGCTCCGCCACGGTAAATCATTTTTAAATGTACCAACTTTGGAACAGAACAAAACAAACAAAAACAACACAAACACAAAAAACACAACCACAAACACAACACAACCACAACACAACCACAACACAACCACAACACAACCACAACACAACACAACACAACACAACCACAACACAACCACAACACAACCACAACACAACCACAACACAACCACAACACAAACACAACACAACACAACTACAACACAACCACAACAAAAACACAACCACAACAAAAACACAACCACAACACAGCCACAACACAACCACAACACAACCAAAAAACAACCACAATACAACCACAACACAACCACAACACAACCAAAAAAAAAACAACACAACCACAACATTAGAATCACCACCAAACAACACGCTTTTTAGGCGTCCGCGCCCAAAGAGACCCTTTCCAACATTAAAAATTTAAGTCACATAAATAGATCCTACTCCATAACTTACAATAAAACAATGCGATGCAAATGAATGTACGGCAAGTGGTGTTTACTTTTATGGTTCTAAGAAAACACATTGGCAATGTAATTAGAATTACCACCGAAAATCACGCTTTTCCCAGGCGTCCGCGCCCAGAGAGAGTCTTTCCACCATTCTCTATATTATAATTATAAAATTTCACCATCTGTTAGCACCAAAAAACAAAAACAAAAAATAGTGATTTTGAGAAATCATAGACTAATTAGAAAATAATATAAATAATCTTAACATTTTTCTCTTTTAATTATGAACCTTAACATAGACTAATCAATGCGGTAGTAATAAAAAAAAGATTAACTTAAATTATTGTTGAGTTAAATATATTTTCAAATTACCTCCCTTGAAACAATTACCACAAAAACAAAGTGGAATTAATTAGCTTTTTCGACCTACTTTTATGGAAATGTATCCATTTTTTCTAGGAATATAAACTAAAATGATATTTGACATTAATCTTTTTAATACGTTTTAGCAGTTTGCGTGTATTTAATATTTTCTTGACGTTATGCGAAAGAGTAAAAACCGTGGCAATTATAAAATAGCTCTATGCCGCTATATAAACAAACCCTACTCTAATACTTATAATAAGACACTGCGGTGCACTGAAAAGCACAGCGTGGTGCGCAGTTTACTTTTATAGTCCCAAAATCTATAGCGATGACGGACGGAAGGAAGGAAGGACACGCTCAGCCCGCTTATATTATAGACTAGCTGCATCCCGTGCTCCGCCACGGTAAATCTTTTTTAAATGTACCAACTTTGGAACAGAACCAAACAAACAAAAACAACACAAACACAAAAAACACAACCACAAACACAACACAACCACAACCACAACCACAACACAACCACAACACAACCACAACACAACCACAACACAACCACAACACAACCACAACACAACCACAACACAACCACAACACAACCACAACACAACCACAACACAACCACAACTCAACCACAACACAACCACAACCACAACACAACCACAACAAAACTACAACAAAACTACAACACAACCACAACCAAAAAACAACCACAACACAACCACAACACAACCAACAAAAAAAAACAACACAACCACAACATTAGAATCACCACCAAACAACACGCTTTTTTAGGCGTCCGCGCCCAAAGAGAGCCTTTCCAACATTAAAAATTTAAGTCACATAAATAGATCCTACTCCATAACTTACAATAAAACAATGCGATGCAAATGAATGTACGGCAAGTGGTGTTTACTTTTATGGTTCTAAGAAAACACATTGGCAATGTAATTAGAATTACCACCGAAAAACACGCTTTTCCCAGACGTCCGCGCCTAGAGAGAGTCTTTCCAGCATTCTCTATACTATAATTATAAAATTTCACCATCTGTTAACACCAAAAAACAAAAACAAAAAATAGTGATTTTGAGAAATCATAGACTAATTAGAAAATAATATAAATAATCTTAACATTTTTCTCTTTTAATTATGAAACTTAACATAGACTAATCAATGCGGTAGTAATAAAAAAAAAAGATTAACTTAAATTATTGAGTTAAATATATTTTCAAATTACCTCCCTTGAAAAAATTACCACAAAAAAAAGTTGAATTAATTAGTTTTTTCGACCTACTTTTGTGGAAATGTATCCATTTTTTCTAGGAATATAAACTAAAATGATATTTGACATTGATCTTTTTAATATGTTTTAGCAGTGTGCGTGTATTTAATATTCTCTTTACGTTATGCAAAATTGTACAAACAGTGGAAATTATAAAATAGCTCTTTGCCGCTATATAAACAAACCCTACTCTAATACATATAATAAGACACTGCGGTGCACTGAAAAGCACAGCGTGGTGCGCAGTTTACTTTTATAGTCCCAAAATCTATAGCGATGACGGACGGAAGGAAGGAAGGAAGGACACGCTCAGCCCGCTTATATTATAGATATATATAAATAAATATATATATATATATATATATATAAATATATATATATATATATATATATATATATATATATATATATATATATATTTATTTATTTATTTACATATATAATATCATATATCACACACACACACACAAACACACATACATATATATATATATATATATATATATATATATATATATATATATATATATATATAAATATATATATATAGATATATATATATATATATATATATATATATATATATATATATGTATGTGTGTTTGTGTGTTTGTGTGTGTGTGTGATATATGATATTATATATATAAATATATATATATATATATATATATATATATATATATATATATATATATATATATATATATATATATATATATATATATATATATATATATATATATGTGTGTGTTTGTGTGTGTGTGTGATATATGATATTATATATATATATATATATATATATATATATATATATATATATATATATATATATATATATATATATATATATATATATATATATATATATATATATATATATATATATATATATATATATATATATATATATATATATATATATATATATATATATATATATATATATATATCGCTTCTCTAGAACCAGTCACTTCTGACTCAGTTTGTTTAGATCTATAGATCTACACTTTTGTGTCCCAATACCATAATGACAACAAAAGTGTATAGCCTTATCTCCCACTGTTATTTCTCAACACTTTAATTCCACTAAGTTCTTAATTTAGAAATATTAAGGATATTTTAAATCCTTGTTGTGAAGCGATATATGTATATATTCTTAAATTGCAATTGCTGTATATACATATATTTATACGTACATTCATAAATTTAAATACATGTATGTTTACATGTAATCCTCACATAAATCTTGTACATATGAATGTCTTCTCATATATGCTATTTGTTGATTTAGATTCCTGCCTTTTGCAAATTTTGCTTAACATATTTGGACAGGGATTGCCATGCTTTCATTTAAAATTCAATTTGATTTTCTCATAATTCGCGTGTCAGTATGCAGTAATCAGAGCTAAAATTTAACCAAGGGAGTTTACCCGTGCAAGCACAAATTAATATTGAATTGTGTCCCTTTAATGTAATTTTGTTTTTTCCTATTTTTATCCGTGGTAGTAGTTGAACTTATTATTTTAAAATGTAGTTAGAATCAAATTGCAACGTCGTTAGTAAAACAAGATGGTCATTTCGAGATAGACTGAAAAATGTTACATTTATTTTACTCTCTTCTCTTCAATAAACTTTTTTAAAATACTTCTTGCAAAAAATTTCGTAGACTAATTAAAGGATGTCTGGAAATTTTAGTCACAATAAGCTTTAAAAGTCTATGTAATCATATTAGCTTTTAAAAAACAAATCTTTTAGAAATATGGCAAGCGATAAAATTATAGTTACATTTGTATTAATTAAAGTTGTTAAGGAACCATCAATTACAATCATTTTCATATTTTTGTATTGAATATAACCCGCTGAAAAGCCGTTTTGAATTATTTTATAAATTTCAAATATTTTTTTTAAAACCGCAACCCCTCCAGGGAAAGTAAAACAAACGAAAGTCACAATAATTCTTTTCCATGATAAAATACACAATAGCGGTGCATTGGGTTATAGCTTAGTAGTTTATTGATATTAAGTAATATAACATTCCCTATCAACACAACGCTCCGAAATCTACTAATGCAAATTAGAAATAAAAGTGTTTGCTAAATTATTATTACATTACTAGTAATTATTTGTTTGAATATTTCTAGCCTTAATAAATCTGGAAGTCATTTTGTACTTAATTTCACAAATGTTGTAAAATATTCAATTTTGGTTGGAAAAAAAATATGCTCTCTGGCAAAAATCATTTGGAATCAGCTTTTCAAAAATATTTTATATCCAAAGAGATGTTAATCTGTGTGTGGTGTGTTCTAGACACCAGAGGGGTGGTGATTCAGACGAGGTGGTTTAAACACTTTACTTTTAATACTTTGAACACCCCTTGAGAGGTAATCTAAACACCCCAATAAAACTGTTTGGACACCTTTTTCCAAGGTGTCAAAACTCGCGACCCACCCCACAAAACCGCATAACGTAAAAAAAATGTCAAATAGGAAACCTAACCAAGTAACGTTACAAAATATATCAAGCAGCAACCAAATCTCTAAAAGACAGATGTATGATGCGACATTGTTTTGTTTCCTCTAGGCCAATGACCTTCACCCTGCTGACATCAACGGTAAAGCTGACCCCTACCTGGTCATCCGACTGGGCAACAAGACACAGAACGATAAAGAGAGCTACATCTCCAAACAGCTGAATCCAGTCTTTGGCAAGTGAGTACTGGATACGTGGATAGTGGATAAGTGGGTGTTGGATAAGTGGGTCGTGGATACGTTGGTCGTGGATAATTGGATAAGTTCGTGGTGGATAAGTGGGTGGTGGTGTAAGTCCTTGTCTACCTATGATGTAGGTCCTGGTGACAATTCGTAAAGTCCATATGTTGGTATGTCTGTGTTCAAGTATCGCCAGTTCTGAATGACAGTCTAATATAGTTTGTCTGGGTCTGGGGCCTGGGTCTGGGGCGGGGCTTTGAAAAAAATCAAACAAGTGGACAACTCATGCTGCGGTCAGTTTCAAAAAATCAATCGCCTGAAATGTTTATCGATCTAGGGATTAACGAACGGTTTTGTTCGTGAATTGTTTTATTGATCAGGAAATGGGAAATGAAGGGGGTGAAGGGGGTCGGAAATGAGGGAACGAGATAGGGTAGGGTGGTGAGTCATCTGTTACGTCACATCGATGTCACGTCACGTCACACCGATGTGACCGTGACACTGCCGTGACACGCCTACAACAGTGACGTGATGGTGTGACCTAATGTTGACCGGCTGTGTGAACCGTTTGTGTGTCAGATAAACTGACTTCCTGATGGCAGATATGAGGGGGGGGGGGGGTCAGACATAAGTGGCGTCACGGGTTTTGAAGTTGTGACGATTTTCAACCCCCTCCCCCACCCAGTCACTTAAAACGTAACGCACATACACAACATATCATATCGAAAATCAAACTAATTTTTTAAAATATCTCGTATTTTTTAAAATTTATATTACAAGCAGAATAAAAGCTATAATGATAAACTACATCCCGTCTGCCCCCATGACACACAGTGTCACAAAAATCCAACCCAAAATGTATTCTTGGTGAATGTTTGTCAAAGATTTCTCCATACTGAAGCGAATGATTGTCTTAGTTTATCGATACTGTAGCGAATGATTGTCTTAGTTTATCGATACTGTAGCGAATGATTGTCTTAGTTTATCGATACTGTAGCGAATGATTGTCTTAGTTTATCGATACTGTAGCGAATGATTGTCTTAGTTTATCGATACTGTAGCGAATTATTGTCTTAGCTTCCTCAAACTGTAGCGAATGATTGTCTTAGCTTCCTCAAACTGTAGCGAATGATTGTCTTAGCTTCCTCAAACTGTAGCGAATGATTGTCTTAGCTTCCTCAAACTGTAGCGAATGATTGTCTTAGCTTCCTCAAACTGTAGCGAATGATTGTCTTAGCTTCCTCAAACTGTAGCGAATGATTGTCTTAGCTTCCTCAAACTGTAGCGAATGATTGTCTTAGCTTCCTCAAACTGTAGCGAATGATTGTCTTAGCTTCCTCAAACTGTAGCGAATGATTGTCTTAGCTTCCTCAAACTGTAGCGAATGATTGTCTTAGCTTCCTCAAACTGTAGCGAATGATTGTCTTGGTTTTCTCCTGGTGAAATTGTTTTTAAAGTTTCCTGTGCTCTGAAAAGACTTAGAGCTTGCCATCAATAATTCAAACCATTCATAAATACAAACGACATGTTTTCAACGATCAAAGCCGAGTTGGCTAACTAAAGAATGCAAATTATTTTACAATCTAAACAATCTAGGCATGCACGCCGTCTATGAAAAAACACCCATTTTTAAAGGCGCACTACCATAACAGTATTAAAGCGCGAATATATCAATACATTTAGAATGAACATTTATTGAAATTAACACCATCTAAGAACTCATACTATATCAGAATTTAATACATGTATAGAAAATAAACTCTACTAATAAATTAAGAAGGGAAGACATTGTTTAATGTGTCTATAATGTGTAACATTTTTATACAACAATCACTTCGACCCTTATTGAAGCTTTTGTTCAATGTTCAACAACTTGACGTGAACCACGTCTCCCTCTTTGTTCTATGTTCTGTTCCACTCGCCCGACATGCGCACCTACCTCCTCCAACCCCTCTCCCCACATTAATACCTCATCTGTTTAAGGTCGAAGTATTCTATCTTGAAAAAGTACAAGTTTTTTGTTGTTTTTTTTAATTTAAGATAATACCAATAGGGTATATAAATCTAGTTTTTTTTTTTACTCTAAACGATGCTTTTGGTATGCCATGCTTTATCGATAATGCCACCCTCTACTCTCCTCTAAACATACTCCCCCCCCCCCCCCGCCCCCCCCCCCCCTCCCCTAACAACACCACTACTTCATTGTGCATTTTTTCTTTCTGGCGACCTTGTAGCCCAAAAAACAATAACAATTAATTTTACAACCTGCAAGTCACGTGATGACCGTCAGTTTACGCGGGGAAACAAACATAAAGGCTTTAGTAATGAAGGTTAACACCAAATTTCAATTTGATATTAGAAAAAATTTAACTACCCCAAAAGTCTGTTCAAAAACACAAATAATCACATTTTTGTTGTTAAATTTAAACTAAGAAATCTTCGGCTGTTTGTTTAGTTTCACGAAGGTTACTACCACATAAAATTACGTAATTCATTTTAAACTAAGCTGACAGAGAGATTAAATTAAAATTTTCTAGAGGCCACATGAAAAAAAAAACTCATCTAGAATAAATTAGCGCCCACTCTACTTATGCAACTATCATAGAATATTCTAGCTGAAAAACACCACACTATGCTCACCTACATTTGAAATGATACATTCACACCCTCTACCAGACACATACACACATAATCATCAGCGTCATAATCCCTTAACAACATACAATACTTCATTCTAAAATGCCAAAAACTTATTGAAGCCAACTACATAAGCACTAACGTATTAAACTACTAGAATACCACTGTAGTTTATCGTACTACTAAGATAGCAACTTATTGTACTACTTCTTCTACTACAACTACATTCTTCATTGTTATATTTAGAGGATTTCGTCCAACACAAAATAGTATTACGTATCAACATGTCATGCGCTTGCTTCCTCGGCCTGTGTCCTTTGTCCACCCAAGAACAATCTGCACGGCAGCGGTTGTTTGCTTATGGTGTTTTCTTTCCTAGATGGGTTGCTGTCCACAGCTAGCGATGTCTCATCTGCCAGGGGATTCGAACTCGGGACTCTAAGACTTAGCAATCATACGCTTTCCAGTCTTCTCGATTGCACTACTAAAATACCTTTTTTTTTTCGTACTACTAATATACCACCAACTTATTGTAGGCCTGCTACCAAAATACAAATACTTACGACTACAAAATTATAATACTACTACAAAATTGTAATGAAAAATTAGACCAAAAAAAATATATTTAAAAATTCCTTTATATTTTATTGCAACTATTGTCAGGTATCTGAAAATCCTGTTTTCTCAGTAACTTTAGCCCCACTTTTTGTTTTGTTGGATGTTGGTTTCTTTTTTTTTTATTTTACGAGCGATTATAATTTTTTTTTTCTCCAAAGGTTATAAAACATCTCTTGACTGGTGTCAGTAAAAAAAAAAACGACTTTTCTACAAAAAAACACTGAGAGGTGAGGTGGGAGGTAAGGTGGGAGGAGAGGGGGAGGGTAGGTGGGAGGTGCCGGCTCAACGAACGAGAACAAGAGAAATGTGATACGTCACTAGTCCCTACCTGGACCGGCGTGACCGGCTTTACACACGGCACCGGCCTATGACACACCGGCTCCTGCAAACTTTAAAACAAACAATCCACCCCCCCTTTCCCCTTCCCCCCCCCCTCCCCCCTTCCCCTTACACACCCCCCCCCCCCCCTCCAAAAATAAAAAAACATTAACAAAGCTTTCTTTAAAATGACGACCAAACATGGGATGGGGATGGGATGGTAGTAAGGGAAGGGGTAGTGTAATCGTTGTTTTTTTTTTTTTTAATACAGTTCATGAAAGAAGAATTTTTTTTTAAATGTAGGGTGACTGAACAGCATGCCGTAAAAAAAAAAAAAAGAAGAGCCCCACCATTGTTGACCCGCCCGGGGAGGCGGCACTCTTTTGTGTGGTTTATGGCTTCACGCCGCTGGGCCCGCGCGAGAGGAGTTTTTATAATCTGTCCACGGGGCGAATCGATGGCTGCCCCGGGGTATCAATTACAGGCCCGGGCTGGTATCGGGTTCCCCGTGTCTCGTAGCGTCATCCGTCGCCCGGGAGACCGCCCGACCCCGGTCACGGCTGGGTGCCCACGGCCCCAAATTGCCGGCTTGCTAGGCCGCCGCGTCAATAGATGGTAGGACTGTCATTAGAGCCTCTAGGACGCCGAGAGATAAATCACAAGTTTTTGGCCGCGAGAAAATACGAGACGAGATTTCATGAATAGATTTGCTGTTTTTTTTTTTAAACACAATTTTTTTTTGGATAAGTTGAAATTTACATAGGAAGAAAATTGTCGTTAGATTTGTTTACCTAGAAGATTTTGATCGAATGTTTTGTTAAGTTTTTTTTTTCTTGGCGTGTAGCAGTTTTACGACGTGTAGTTAAAATTTAAAATTAAGAACAATTGTGTAATTTAACGGAAACGTTAGTAGTATATTAGGTCACTTTTGGGTCGCAGGCGCAGGCGCTGGGTGAGCAGGAGCAGGAGCAGGAGCAGGAGCAGGAGCAAAGGATATATAGGAAAATACTCCCCCAGCCTGGGACAATGACATATAGTAAAATACTCACCCACCAGGCGCAGCCTGCCGCAGCCTGGGACAATGAGATATAGTAAAATACTCCCTGGGGGAGCAGGAAGTACACCGACATATAGCAAAATACTCACCCATCTGGGTGAGGGTGGGTGAGCAGGTGGCGCAGCCTGGGACAACGAGATATAGGAAAATACTCACCCACCTGGGTGAAGGTGGGTGAGGGTGGGTGAGCAGCCTGGGACAATGAGATATAGTAAAATACTCACCCACCCTAGGGTGGGTGAGCAGGTGGGGGAGTAGGTCAGTAGGTCACCACCGGTGACCTTGTGACGTAATTAGTAACATTATGACGTAATCATTGACCTAGTTACGTAATTTTAATGTGTTTTTTAATTAGTTTTAATGAGTTTTT